TGTGGCAGTTCCTAAAGAAACTGAGAACTACCATATGACCCAGCAATTCCACTCCTGGTATATACCCAAAAGACTTGAAAGCAGAGACTCAACCAGAGACTTGTACACCAGTGTTCGTTGCAGCAATATTCACAATAGCCAAAAGGTAGAAACAACCTAAATGCTCATTAGCAGATGAATGGGTAAACAAAATGTGTTACATTGTACAATGTAGTATTACTCATCCAGTAGGAGAAATGAAGTCTTGACACGTGCTACAATATGGATGGAACTGGAAGACATTATGCTGAGTGAAATTAAGTCAATCATAAAAGAACAAATATTGTATGACCTCACTTATATAAAAAGACAAGAAAACGCAAATTTATAGGAAACAAAGTTTGTTAATGGTTACCAGGGGTGGTAGGGAGGGGGAAGGGGGGTGTTAATAGTGATGGAAATATTGCGTTAAGGGTAGGGTTGCACAGCCAATTATTGTAATTGTTGTCAAATAAGTTGAATTGGCAAAAGTTGTGTGATAGATACATTTACAGCAACGACGAAAATAAGGGTAGCTGCTTAGGCTGCTTATGTACAACTAAAAATCTCATGGGGATTTGGTTTATAGGTTTAGGGTCATGGTTTCATGGGACATCCCAGGTAATTGGCCTAATAACATGTTTAGTGCTGCTGTTCTACCAGATAGTTCAGTGAGTAGTGCCTGGGGTCTTAAAAGCTTGCAAGTGGGCATCCTTGACATAACAATTGATCTCTGTTCACCTGGAATAACAGGAAGAAGGAGAGTCAGGAATAGGAGGATGTGGAATGTGTGGCTAATGGCCTTCATGAACAACTGTCTCCTTTGCCATGAGACCAGAAGAACTGGATGATGGAAAGCTACCATTATTGAATATTTTGATCAAATTTCAAACTCTCATGGACTCCTGGATCCATGAAGGTTGGATGAACCCCTGAAGCTACCGCCCTGAGATAATCTTTAAACCGTAAACCAAAAATATCCCCAGAAGTCTTAAAATCAGACAGTAGTTTAGCTTAACTAGTAAAAAACATCTGCCTTGAGCATTATGTTCTTTTAAGAACTATATGGGGATCGAATTGATAACAGCAACTCAAGAGATAGGAACCTAGGGGGTGGTATATTTATGTTAATGGAGGAGGAACAACTCAGGAAAGGAGGATGAGAATGGTTACACAACTCAAAAAATGTAATCAGTGTCACTAAATGGTACATGTAGAAACTGCTGAATTAGTGTGTTTTGCTGTGTATATTCTCAACAAAAGCAAAATAAATAAAATTATATATAAAAAAATACAATCTCACACAAGCAGGTAAAGTTAACTGGACAAGGCTGTTCATTACAGTGTTGTTTTTATAAGTCCCCTTCCCACAAAAGTGGAACAAACCTAAATGTCCATCAGTAGAGAAATAGGAGAGATATACAAAAATTTAACCATGGAATACCATAGTAGTTAAAAGAATGCATAAAGTAAAAGTACATATATTTGTACAGACATGAAAAGCTGTCTCTACAATATTAAGTGAAAAAGGCAAGACACAAAATTGTATATGTATCATATACAATAATCCGATTTATACTATAAAATATAAAAATTTTTTAAAAAATTTGGGTGATGCCTAGAAAGGAGTTTAAAAAGACACACAACTTGTCCTTGGTGGGTGAGGGAGACAGTCAAGAGGAAGAGGTGAGGAGGAATACTTGAAGTCAATTTTTTTTTTAAGTGAGGGAAAGCACTGTCAGATATCCAGAAGCTTTAAGAAACAGGCATTCTCATTAGCTACTTAAAGAATTATTGAAAGTCCAACCTGTTAAACAGTCAATCAGCATACATTTGAGAGCCTACTGTGTCAGGCACTAAACATTAATATACAGTAAAACCTGCAAAAGCCTGTGTAAGGTGGAAACCTGTCAGAGAAGGAAAAGTCAACTATTTTCCACTAATAGGGATAGAAAAGTGGTGGCTGCACCTGGTCAAAGGTGGAAAACGATTCAAGACCCAGAAAAACAAGGCAGTCCCGTCGAGTTCCAGCTCTCAGGTTTCACTGTATTTTTAATTATTCAGAGAGAAATTAAGTATTTTCTTAAATTACAGAACACTAAATATAGTTTAACACAACCTTCCCCAGTCTTTTCGAAGTCAGGGCCTACACAGCAAATAATTATGTTTTTAAAGCACAATGGTGTAAACCATTGTGAGGTAAACCAGGTTGCTCTCTAGCAAAGGGAACTGGCCTGGGGACAGAAGCTGCCACTGTCCCCAGTTACCTAAGAGCCCTTAGAGGATCAGTTTCTGGTCCTGCCTACCAATGAGGATTCAAAAAATTCAGTACTAAAACAACTTGCATAGAACTGAAGATGATGTACTGTGGTTTTCAAATGTTTGACTTGTTTACCCCTTAGAAGAATTTTGAAAAATTATGTACTCCTTGTATGTTTTTATGGCACATTGGGTAGCATATCTGTGCTTTCATTATATTTTCATCAAAATATGAAGAGTTAGCTCATTCAGTTGGAGGTACAGGTTTAGCTCATCTAATTTTTGGAAAATGTGTGCCATAAAATCTAATTGGCAAAGCCATTTCTCACTGGGAAAACAGTCAAATAAAAAACTTGTTTTTTTCTCAGACAAAGTTAGACTTCATATTTCGCTTGGTTCCCCAGAGATTTTTATACCCTAGGGCTATACACCTTAATAAGATCTGTAATAGATTAGAGAAATAACTGTCTCTTGTAAAGTGGGAGGACAACTCATTTTTAGAAAAGAACTCAAGAAGGTTGAGATCTGAAAATTTTCTTAAAATTTAATTTTCTTAAAGCTATCAATGCCTGTCTACCCTGGAAGCAAATAAATGTACACCAATTTGAAGGCACCTGCTCTAGGACACTTAGATGATTAAAAAAATAGCGCTAATGATGATAAAGATGTTGGTGTCAGATGATGCCCAAGTTGGAATGAGTTTATTTCATGAAATGTGAAAATGAAAAAAAGAATCAGTTTTTCTTAGTCTATATAAAATGTGATTTTAAATATTTGTGTGTAACTGAATCAATTTTTTACTATAGACATTTATTTCATTTATATGCCTGTTGATGTTGTTGTTAGTTGATGTTGTCAATTCCAACTTATTTCATTTATATCTCTAGAAGTTTATATATTCAGCTTGCCACACACACACACACAGAATGATAGTTTTTCATTGGGAAAACTGGAGGATGGAATTATATTTGGTATAGGTGATATATACAGAAGGGATGAGGATTGAATGTTGAAGAAAGTTGATGGTTATAGGGAAGAACTGGCAATAGTAGACTGCAGAGAAGGCTAGAAAAGGAGTTGACTTAACGTTTCTGTGGAGCCCTGGTGGCACACTGGTTAAGAGCTTGGCTACTAACCATACGGTCAGCAGTTTGAATCCCCCACCTGCTCCTTGGAAACCCTATGGGACACTTCTACTCTGTACTGTAGGGTTGCTATGAGTCTGAATCGACTTGACGGCAACAGATTGTTTGTTGTTGAATGTTTCTGTATGTGACTTAAACTTGAAACCTACTTAGTTATAAATAATCCTTCTGCAAAGTAAGGGTACACTTCTAATTTACTAATATTAGCCAAAGTAGCTAATTGTACTGTTTCCCTTATGATATTTTCTAAAAAGTGGTAACATTCTTGGGTATGTATTTCATATAGAAAAAATTTTATTTATATTTCGAGCTTTGTTGTATTATTTCTGTTAACAATTTTAAGCTTTTTTTTTTATAACATACTTGAATGTATATTTATCAAGGCTTCTTTACACTTATGTCAAATTGTTTCAAAGGTAAATGTTATACTTAGCACTAAGACCTAGGGTCCTTCAAATATGTATTAAGCACCTATTATCCATCTTGACGACCTTTAAAAGCAGGGCCTGAGCCAGTTCCCAGTCTCACCTGGCTGTGGGTCCACACTCCTGTCAAGATTAGGATCCTTAAGTTCCAGGGAGGAAGGGAGTTTCTACAAAGGCCTCCTACATTTCTGGATCCACAGTAGTCGCCATAATTGGCCTTTCTGTAACATTCTGAATTTCAGTGGGCACTGAGTACCAAAATTTTACTCTGGAATGTTCCAGAACAAAAATTCCAGGGACTACTCACCCTAATGCTAATGTATTGCCATTATTAATTTGTATCTTATTTAATACTTACATAAAATTTTATTTTTTATTTACTAATATGAGCCAATTAGTAAAATTAGAGCATTGCTAGTACTAAAGAGGTCAAGAACATGATTTCAGTGCTCATGTGAGCTAATTAACAATGTATCCCAAGGTCACAAGCCCTAAATTCAGCTAGTTTACAAAAAATAAAATGCAATAAGAGGAACCTGATAAACGTCTGTGAACAGATCATGAAACCCATTATTATTGAAAAATCAAAGCATATCCCCTTCTGACATCATCCTTAAATAAGAAGAAAATATGAATAATATTAGGCAAGAGTCATAAATGAAAACAAAGTAAATACAAGGCAGCTTTAAATGACTGTGTGGTGTTTTTTTGTTGTTTTTATGGAAGAGTATAATTTTTTTCTTTGGAAAATATTCCTAAATATTGAGGAATAACCTTTGGAGGGTAAGAATATTACTTACCTATACACAGCCTATAGAAATGCTTCTTATTTAGTCCCTCATAATCCATGTCCTGTGAGTCAGAATCAACTCGACAGCAATGGGTTACTCCACGTCCACACCTCCTAGACACAATCCTTGCTCTCTCTCAGAGCAAACACACAGTTCTCATATTAGCACACAGAGCATATATAATAAAGCTGTTTTTTGTAGGAAATACATAGAAATTTAGAGAAAGGATTCATCAGATGTTTAAAAGTCATAAAGTTAGTACTACTAAGGAAATTTATTTTTTCCATTTGGTCATTTAATATGATAAGTTACTTTTAATCTAGTTAATTACTGCATTATAATTCTGTATTTTCTCTTCATAGGGCTTCATTACTTTAAAAACGTTGTGTTGGTGGGATCTTTACAGGATCGCTATGTTCCTTATCACTCAGCCCGCATTGAGATGTGTAAAACAGCATTAAAGGACAAGCAGTCAGGTAACAAAGTAAATTAGAAACATTTTGAAAAGATATCTAAACATGAGCTTTTCCCCAAATTTATCTTATAGTCACTTTCTCTTTTTTGTCACCCTTCTCTTTCCTTTTACTTCCTTTTCCTCCCACGGATCTTAACAGTTATCCTTCCTCCATTTTTCTTCCTTTCTCTTCTGCCGTGTCAGATGTTTTTATCAACCAAGCAGTAGTTCTTCTTATGAAATACTGTAATTCTTTCATCTAGTACCAATTGCTTCTCAGGATTTCCTCAGGATTATTGGAATTGATGATTGTGGTAATGGTCATGCTGCAAGTTCTGCTGTATGTCACTTTTAGTCAAAGATGGCAGCAAGGACTTGCCCCTCTTTGCTGGTAGTGAGTGATAATAATTTTATTTATTTATTCTCTTCCTATTTGTGAATAACCAAAGAAATTCAAATCATAGCTGTTTGTAGCCAGAAAGAGACTCAGGTCCTGTTTGCTTACTTTTTAACTGAGGCCCACAGATGTTAATTGGCTTACCCCAAGTCACCGCTAGTTAATTACAAGGCAAGAACCTGAGTCTTCTACCTCCCGTTATTACTTCAGTTCCTTTTTTGGAATGAGGCTGATTTTAAACATACTTGATCCTTTGCTTTTTGTAGATTGTGACAGTGAGCAGGTCCTTAAGACAGGGACTCTCTTATACATGTGTTACATTGGCATTGCCTAAACTGGTGCCTGGCACATAGTAGATATTCCATTCATTTAACAAATATTTACTGAACATTTGTGACATCAGAATAACCTTCTTTTACTTCTGTTGTAGCAAAGGCTAGAATTTCAGAGGAGGTTTAACCTTCAGATGGGTAGCAGAAACTAGATAAATGTCATTTGTAGTCCCTTTTAACAGTGAGATTCTCTGCCACTGAGAGGCAGGGGAAATATAATGAAGACATGTTTGGACTTCTTCCTATGTAAACACATTTTAAAAGTAGCATGGAACCATAAATCTACCTTGACTCACAATGAAAAAACTAAGAGGAGAGGTTGGAGTAAAGGTTTTTCTTGAGTCCATGTGTTATTAATCTTTCTCTTAAATATTTCTCTTTCTCTAATTGTACTTTCATATACTATTCCTTTCTTGTCATACCTCTCCTCTGAAATTTAATACCTGTCTCCCTAAAATTCAGTTTCCATGGATATGTTAGCGCTAATATATTAGTAATATAGTAATGTATAAACATTAAAAACAATGTATTGCCCCTTATAGACAGTTGGCACATTTGTGTTTATATATATCTAATATTTATCTTTTATGATTAGCATGACCTCATTAAATCTATTATAAGAATTAACTAAAAAGGAGAAAGGAGTACAACTTTGAATTAAGAGCAGTACCAAGCACTGAATAAAGCTTCTCGGACCAAAAAAAGGATCCTGTTTGTTCTTTGAGCCAAATTCAAAACTGTAGGGTGTTGTTAATTCTTTCTCACAATAATTTGGAAATGTTAATTTCCATGGAAGCATTTTAAAGTACTTCCTATAGGCTAAAGTTTAAAATTTTGCATTATCAAAACGTCTCACTGTGGCTAGCTTATTATTTTCATAATGGTTTAATGAGTCATAAGGAACTTAACATTGAAGAAGACTGTTTTGTTATATGCATTGCTTTGAATTAAAAATATCAAATTGGCAAGAGTAATGTAAAGTGAATTTGTTATTTTTGCTTGGCTAGATAAATAATGTGATTGCTTATATTTTCCATTTAAACGGTCTCAAAAATTACAGTCAAAAGAAAAATAAAACCTTGACAAAAGATTTTTTTCTGTTTAAATGAAAATAATGTAACTAAATTTTATAAATTATATAAAAACTGGGCCCAGGATTTTTTTTCCAGTTACTGCTGTGAACTAATTTTCTTTTTTTTCTATTTGTTCCATAGGACAGTTCTATTCTGAAATGATCCATAACTTGCTTCACCCAGTTTTGCAAAGCAAGGGCTGTAATTTGGTTCGATATAATGTCATCAATGCATTGCCCAATACAGCTGATTCACTGATTGGGAGAGCTGCACATATAGCTGTTCTTGACTCAGAAATATTTTTAGAAAAATTCTTTCTGGTTGCTGCCCTCAAATATTTCCAATAGGATAAAACCATTCTTAGAGACTTGACAATTACCTCATTCATCAATGATTCAAATAATGTATTATATTAAATTGTAGATGCTAATAAGTTCTAAGAAATATTTATACCTTTTTATATGGAAGATAATTTATATCATCCATGTTTAGAGCTTTTTAAAACATCAACAACTTTACTTTCTAGGTAATGTGGCTGTGCAATATTTTTTTAATTTTATCTTTTTACTTTTCTATTACTTCTTCATATATTTTGCTACCTAAGTATTTCAGTGAAACTTTAAGCCCACATGTACATCTAATTATTGTTGACTTTCCACAGTTCTTACATTGGTCTACATCATATTAGAGGCTATTATTGCTAGAATAGCATGGGATTTTGAATTTTCTAATATTGGGGTATTATTTAGTTAATTATAAGTTTTACTTTTAGCATTTTACTATATTTTAACTGGAAATAAAATTATGGCTGCTAAAATATATTTTTTGAAATCAACTTCTGTAGCCCTAAAATATACTTTTATCATATGATCAAACCAGGTAGTTCATATATGACAATGTTATAAAAGTTTTCTATAAAGTCATTATTGTTGCTATTAAACATATGTCATGCCTATTAAAATATATTTTCTACTGCTGATTTCAACATTATTTCTCATATTGACTTTTATTACTGGAACTTTTCGTTTCATGTTAGCAGCATATAAAGATTTTTGAATGTTTGAATGCCCTCTTCTTTGATTTGGTTGGAATTTTGCTAAATTTAGTAATGTTGCTTGAATTTTCTGACTACATTTCTTTAACTTTTTTCATGAACTTCCTTGTATGTACATATAACAATTAACTGTTGAAATTTCTGAAATACTTTTATGGATTTAGATAATTTTTAAATATTGTTAAAATCTATTGAACTAAAGTAATGTAAATAAAGCAATTCATGTTTAAAATGGACAAAAGAACTAACTTTACATGTTTGGTGATGTAGATGCAAAAGTTTTTGATATATTGAGATGTTGAGTCTTTTGACTTTACTAAAGGTGCTGAATAGCATTAAATTCGCTATTTTCCTTTCCTGTTTCATTTGTGAAAATACTAATGCACTAAGGGTGGATAAAAGGTTCTATCTGCGTTCAGTAATTGTGATGAACAGAAGGTTTTTGTAAGTATTTATTGTATAATTGATGCATGTTCATTTTTAGTATTGTGTCATTGCCTCTGGTGTTAATAAATGAACAAATGACTATCTAGAGGAGCAGCTGAAACACTTGCAATCCTTTGCTTACTTTCAGAATACTAGGGGCATATGTTTTTATTTATAATTTAGATAGACTATATCAATTAACTGATGTTCTCAACTTCCACAGTGGGGCCATTTCTCCTACCAAGATTCGTCAAACATATGAAATGGGTTTGATTACTAAGCAGTTAATATAAAAACATCAGAGGGCTACTCTAGTCCATCTCTTTGGCTTTCCAACTTTCACATACACCATTCTTCCCATATTTATACATTTAAAATGCTGCCTACCTTTATCCTTCCATCCAGCCCCAACTCCAGTCCTCTGTGTGATGTCCATTTCTCCTCTGGTTCTATAATGATCTTGTCTCAATAGTTCGCAACCTGTAGACAAAATTATGACCTAACCACCATTGCCCTATATAGTAGTGATATAGGAAAGAAAAGGGAAATTAATTAAATATGTAAACATATGTATGACTCAGTGAGGAAGGAAATAGCTAGACCAGTGTTTTGCAACATTCCTTGTTGTGAATCACCTAGACTACTTGTTAAAAATACAAATTCCAGAGTTCCATTCCAGGCCAACTGAATCAGAATTTCCAGGATAGGATGTGGGTAGCAGCATGTTTTATGTCCCAAACTTCTCTGATAAGAAACACCTATGATAAATGCAGCCCTCAGTTCTGCCACTGGTCGTAAGTCTAGATGACTTATGATTTATCACCACTGCCACCCATTCCCTGTTTCCTTTGTGTTTGACCAGCTCCTCAGCTAATCAGATTTCTTTTACCTAATGGGTGACCCATGGATCTGGAAGATCTCAGGCTTGGGGGTCTTGCCTCATTAGTCTTTGCTCAATTTTTTACAATTCAGCATGATATTGTGAGGAAGTATTCCAGGAGATTCCCTGACTCCTAGTCATACTCCTCTCCCTACTCCCTTTTCCTCCATGGTGGTCAGGGCCAATCACTCAAGCTAGCATCATGACCACTTTTTTTTTTTAACCTTGTGTAGGAGAATAAGCTAAAAATTTCAAGGGAACAGGCTCAGCTTCTAAATTTAGGAAAAACATTATTACATCCCTAAATGAATAATTTCTTTTATAAGGATCAGCACAAAGCTGGTTCCTATGAGGTGGAGGTTAAAGATGTCCCAAATGTCCAACTTTTCCAAGCTGCTGTACCACTCCATCATCTCTAACATCAACTACTCCCTCTCCCCTCAGTACTCGCCCTCCCGTCTCTGGGTTCGCCGCAAAATCTCACAGAACTCAGGAACGATATAAAGGAAATGGTTCACGTGGTTGTGGAGGCTGCCAAGTCCCAAATTCATGGGTCAGGCATAGACTTCTCCCAACCCACTTGGCTGCAGGAGCTGACCAACCCAAACCGGCAGTTCAGACCACAGGCTGCTGGCTCGCAAGGCTTCAGAAGCTAGCGAATCAGGTCATATGATAGGCCACTGGCCCAAGGGGCCGTGGAGGCTGGCAATCTCAGAATTGGCGGGTCAGACAGCAGGCTTCTGGGGAGGTCAATTGATTACGAACCTGAGTGGGATCCAGATGCAAAGAGAGCCTCGCCAGGACATACACATATATGTCATATACAGGCCACACCACAGGGAAGGGCATAAGTTTAGTAAGGGTGGCGCTAGAGACACGCCCTGCTGCAAGGCGGCAACCCAAGACACACCTTGCACCAGTCCTGCCTCATCAACATGTAGAGGTCAGAATCCACAACATTTAAAATGAAAGACAACCACATGATACTGGGAATCATGGCCTAGGCAAGTTGATACATAATCCCAACCATCACAGGTTCCACATTCCTTATTTGCATAGTCCCACTCAATCACTGTGTGTGAGTCACAGAGACTATGGCTGGAAGGGCCATATTAAGTAATTCATTGCACTGCAGTCCCCTAGTGGAAACACTCCTGCTCTAGGTGCAAAAATTGTTAACAGCAACAGAAACTGGAATCATGAAGATGGGTGGCAAGATGTGGTGGGGGGTCTGAGGCTCTGCTCTACTTGCAAGCTGACAGGTTAGCTTGCTACAGTCATGGATGCTGACAGGAGACTCCTGGGTCAGAGACAAGACTTTATTACAGCAAAAGTAGTAGCCAGAGTGTGAGCATATTTGCGCTGGTTCCTGTAGCCCCAACTCCTATAGTGCAATGTAGAGGGCCACATGACACCTGTACACATGGTGGATTGCATTGTAAGAGAACTCAGGGCCAAGGGCCCAGCAGTTTTTGATCAAGGAGCAAACATTTTAGCAAGCAGCAAACGAGCCAGTCCCTCTTCCCCAGGAAAGCAGCAGTTAAATGATAGTCATGCTGTGGTTGCCTTGACCTACTTAGTTGCCTATGACTAGCTACAGAAACTGCTCAGTATTAGGAGATGGATCTGGGAAGCTCAGGGCCCATGGCAGATTGTCTCTACCCACAATGGAAAGCCAAAAATAATGGACAATGTGTCAGAAGTAATAGGCGCCAATCCCTCTTCTACTCTTTAGACCCTGTTATTCTGGCAACACTGGATATCACCGAATACTGTTAGTTGTTTGGAGCATATGCCAAATCCTTTAGGACAGCATCCCAAAGTGCATTTTTTTGCCTCGTTCCAAAGCTATATCTACAATAAGGCTGTCCATCATTCTGTAAGACCAGCCGCTTCTAGATGATGGGGTGCATAAGACTGGCATCAATTACACTTTACATATTACACAGGAAAATGAGTTTTTGTTAAGTAATGTGTGGGATGGTGTATAGGACATTCAATAAGTTCACAGATGGAGTACATAAAAAGAAGCATAAGTCAGGGAAAGCAATATAAATTCAGAGTAATTGTCTATTCCTATAAGAACTAATTGCTATCCCCTTCATGATGATGTAATTAAACCTGCTACCCAGGCTATATAAAACTACTTTAGGGAATCAGGTTGGTCATGGCAGTTGGCAAAGTATGGTGCTAGCCAGTTAGCCTTGGCAGAAGAAACCAAACCCACTGCCATCGAGTTGATTCCAACTCATAGTCACCCGTAGGACAGAGTAGAACTGCTTCATAGGGTTTCCAAGGCTGTAAATCTTTACGGAAGCAGACTGCCACATCATTCTTCTGTGGAGGGGCTGGTGGGTTCAAACCACCGACCTTTGAGTTAGCAGCTGAGTGCTTAACCACTGTGCCACCAAGGCTCTGGTAGAAGAAAAGATGTTAAAAGTATGTGCATGCCTCCTCCATTCTTGCCACCTTTGTTGGGGTGGGGGGGAAGGAGGCTGACTCTAAGATGACCTTCAATGATCTAACTTCTGGTATTAATGCCCTTGTGTTATCCCCTCCTTTTGAGTGTGGGCTGGACTCAGTCTTAATAAATAGAACACAGTACAGCAAGATTGACAGGATGTCACTTCTAAGATTAGATTACAAAAAGACCAGCTTCCATTTTGGGCACCCGCTATTGCTCTCTTGTTCATACTGCAGAAAGCCAGCTGCCATATTCTGAGCTTACATTTGGAGAAGCCCACATAGCAAGGAACTAAGGGAGGTTTCTGGGCCAAAGCCCGGGAGAAACTAAATCCTGCCAATAATCACCTGAGTGAGCTTGGAAACAAATCCCCTCCCAGTTTGCCCGTTATAAGAGACTGGAGCCCCAGCCGAGAGTTTGACTGCAACCTCCTGAAAGACCTTAAGCTAGAGGCATCCTGGTTCCTGGATTCCTGACCCAAAAAATTGTGAGGTCATAAATGTTTGTCATTTTAATCTACTAGATTTTGTATAATTTGTTAGGCATCCATAGATAACTAATACAGTCATCTTGTTCTGATTAAGAGCCCTTCTGCAATGAGTCTTCGAGGATTCAGTGGGACCCAAATGTTCTCATGCTTTGGGATCGTACTTCAAAGAACTATTCCAAAACCTTTACATTCCAGTTCCTTACCAAACCATCAGTCACTATCCATGAAATGATGTAGATTTTTACCTCAGGCCATATCTCCTTTCAGGCAAAGTGTACAAGATAAATTAAGTTTTGCCCTCTGGGAGGATTTTTTCCTCTGCTATTCCTTGAGGGTTCTCTTAAATGGACTCTAAATGCTAAAGCAGTCCATTGCCAGCTGCATCAGCACTTTTAGCAAAGCCATCTTTAATACAGCTTTAAAGTTTTTCCCCAGTCACCTGGTCACAGGGAATTCATCATTAAGCTGTAGACATAAGTTAAGGGTCAGAATTATGATCTTAGGAGTATGAACTGCCTGCTCATGAATATTGCTTGGGCATTGGCTCTGGCCCTGTCGTGTATTTGCCACTCCCACTTAATGTAAGTACTCCTCATCTAAGTTGTTATTGTTAGGTGCCCTTGAGTCAATTCTGACTCATAGTGACGCCATGTGGCAGAGGAGAACAGCCCCATTGGGTTTTCTTGGCTGTTATCTACATGAACAGATTACCAGGTCTTTTCTCCCTCAAAATTGCTGGGTGGGTTCAAAACACCAGCCTTTCAGTTAGCAGCCCAGCGCTTAACCGTTGCACCACCAGGTCTCCTTCCTTATCTAGGAGGACCAGATAATTGACAGTTCATGATGAAAAACTTAGATTGCATGGCCACTTGATGTCACACGGCAGATGCTACCAGGACCCAGTGACTAAGAAACAACTTAAGAACAAAAAACTGATTCTATAAGGACTTCCACAGGTTACGTAAAGCATCCTGATCAGTCGCATATATTCCAACACCATTGGAGCTGTTGGAATTTAAGGGCCAATGGGCAGAGCTACTTGCATTGCAGTCCGGACCAGATGGAGAGCCTTGTTTTACTCTGCACCACACTCAAAGATGTCACCTTTCAGGCCATCTGGTCCACGAGTCAGAACTGAGGAATTAGGAGCTCACTGAACAGGTAGAGATTTAAAACAAAAAGGAGATTTGAAGGAAGTAAAAGGTGGTCAATCTTGTACACTATAAAAAGGATCTTCCAAGAGGCGTTTTCCTTCAGACCAAGAGGCATAAAGTGAATTATTCCTTCATCCAGCTCAGCCTGATCTTGGGTTTTAATCAACAACGAACTCAGGCGGCTGGATGTTCAGCGCTTTCAGCTGTCGAGGGTCGTTTGGGCCGCTCTTGGTGAAAAGTCTGAGTTCATTCCCCGCTCCCGCGTCCTCACAAGCCCGTCCCCTCTTTCCCTGCAGAGCCGGGGCCAGGCGGGCGAATTCCTGGCCCCGCCCCTCACGGCCTGGCGCGCACTGAGAAGGCCCCGCCCTCACGGCGCCGTAGGGCTGCCCCGGAGGTTGCCGCCGGTTCTTTACCGAGGCAGTGTCCGCACGGATGTTGGTGGAGTAGGCGCCATGACCGCATCGGGCCTAGTGGGGCTGCTCGGCAGCGCCTTGGCCACCACGTGGAGGGCTGCAAGTAAGGCTACTGGCGGCTCCGGGGTCAGGGTCGCGGGCGGGATCGTGAAGGCCTGGGAGGCGCGAGAAGCGCCCTCCGCGGAGCAAGCTGCGTGCGGCCCGGGGCTTCGAGCGCACCGGGAGCTGCCGAGCTTTTCCCCTTCGGTTGGGCTACTCGTGCAGCCGTTTCCCTGGGCACGTCCATTTACCTCCGAGGATCTCAGGGGTGGAGCGAGAGCTGGAACATCCCGAGGGCTCCTCCAGCCCGGACATCGCTCTTACTTCCGGCCTGCCCTCGGGCCAAGAAGGGTTGCAGACATCCCGGGGTGTTTATTTGGGAGCTTGCCTGGTGCACCACACTTTGATGCCCGTGAAAAAAAATGGAAAAGAGGACCCTTTGGGAATAAGAGTCACTCATTTACTTTATTTACATCCTTCCTCTTTTCAGAAGGATTTGTGGTATTATAAAATATATATATTGGAAAAGTGCAGAAATGGGCCAAAACAAGTGTAATAAAAAGTAGATGAACCCTCTCCTGTCGAAATGCAAGACGAAAAGGCGGGAAGACATAGGAACTGGACGAATGGACACAGGGAACCCGGGATGGAAAGGGGAAGCATATTGTCACATTGTGGGAATTGCAACCAGTGTCACAAAACAATATGTGTATAAATTTTTGAATAAGAAGTTAACTTGAGCTGTAAACTTTCACCTAAAGCACAATTTAAAAAAAAAAAAAAGTAGATGAAGCCAGACGTGATTACTACGGAGAATGCATGCATACAGATACATCTGGAGAAGTTATGTGTGTAAACTGAGAACAGAATAACTGCCCTTGTACTAAATGGCCCAGATTTATATGCAGTTTGTTTTCCTTTCTGCAGTCATTTTTCCCCAAACACAAACATATTACTTGTTTAAAAAAAGTCCAGAAATAGATAATATAGAAAGTGAAAGTCCCACATTAATCCACCCCAATTTTGTATTTTACAACAAAGGTATATTCAGCACCCCTTTTCACTAGTTTAAAAAGATATGAAGTATTTGATACCAAAAATTTATGTAATACATATGGGAAACAAAACCATTATTTATGAACCCATTGAAGAGCCCTGGTGATGCAGTGGTTAAAGCGCTCGACTGCTAACTGAAAGGTAGGCAGTTTGAAACCACCAGCAGCTCTGCGGGAGAAAGATGTGGCAGTCTGCTTCCATAGAGATTTACAGCCTTGGAAACCCTGTGGGGTCGCAATGAGTCAGAATCCACTCAAAGGTAGCGGGGTTTGGTTTGGGTTGGAATGAACCCGTTACCCAGTTTAAGAAATAGAATATTTCCATTGCCAAGGCGCTCCCTGTGTGCTGCTTCCTGGTCCAATCTAATTTTACATGTTTGTGATCTTTGTAGAAATGGTTTCATACCCTGTGTATTTATTTTACTTGCTTTTTACAGTTAACACGGTTTTGAGATTTATCCATATTGATGTGTGAGGTTGTAGTTCATTCATACATGACACTTTTTCCATTCTCCTTCTCAGTGGACATTTGGATAATCCTAGAAACACCAGGATTGACTGCTACACATTCTTGTGCATGTTACTTTGTGCTTCTATGCAAGGAGTGGAATTCCTCGGCCATATGATACAGGTCTGCTAAATTTTATAACATGATGCCAAGTTGTAAAATCATTTTCTATTCCTACTGGCAAATGGACCCTCATGTACAATCATGAAGCTTTAATATGAAAAGTGTCTTTTGATGAGCAGATATCAATTTTACTATAATCTCATCTTGATCCTTTTGTCTGTTGCTAGTGCCTTTTTTGACGATGGCGCAGGACCATACAGTATTTCGTTCTCTTGTACATAGGGTCGCTATGAGTCGAAACCAACTCAATGGCACCTACAACAGCAGTGCCTTTTGGTCTTCTCTACCCTAAAGCCGTAGAGATATTCTCCTGTATTTTCTTTTAAAAGGTGTCGTTTTGCTTTTTACATTTAAGCTTTTTTTCTACCAGAAACTGATTTTTGTGTATGGTATGAGGCAGGAAACCAATTTCATGTCTTTTTTCTTGTCGATAGCCAGCTGTCCCAGGTCCGTGTATCCTTTCCCCCACTGATGTAATGCCAGGTATCATAAGTCAAGTTTACATACACATGGACTGACTTCTTGGCTCTCTTTTCAGTTCTGTTGGTCTGTTTGTCTATTCCTGTGCTGAGACCTCCAGTCTTAATAACCGTACGTTTGTAATAAATGTTGGTATCTGGAGGATAGGTCTGATCTTGTTTTTCAGAAGTGTCTGTGCTGTGCTGTTCTTGGTTTCTGTCAGTTTATCAAATTCTGTAGCATCAGTTTATCGAATTCTAAAAAGAAAATCCTGTTGGGATTTGATTAATACTGCTTGCTGTCTTTATAATAATGACTCTTCCTATCTAAGAACATGGTATACTAATCCATTTATTTAGATATTCTTTAATTTTTTTATATATAATTTTGTCATTTCTCCATTAATTTCTTGCATACGTTTTTGTTGTTAGTTTCTGGTATCTCACATATTTTATTGTTGCTGTAGATAGTATCATTTTAAAAGGATCATTTTCTAATTGGTACTTATATGGAAAAACAGAGTTAACTTTTTGATTTTGTATCTAGTTACCTTGCTAACCTAAAGGTTGGCAGTTCAGATCCACCAGCTGCTTGGTGGGAGAAAGATGTGGCAGTCTGCTTCTGTACAAATTGTTGTTGTTGTTAGGTCCGTCCAGTCAGTTACGACTCATAGTGACTCTATGTACAACAGAACGAAACACTGCCTAGTCCTGTGCCATCCTCACAGTCATTGTTACACTTGAGCCCATTGGTGCAGACACTGTGTCAGTCGATCTCATTGAGGGTCTGCCTCTTTTTCGATAACCCTCTACTTTACCAAGCATGAAGTCCTTCTCCAGGGACTGGTAGCTTGTGATAGATAACATGTGCAAAGTGTGTGAGAGGAAGTCTCGCCATCCTTGCTTCTAAGGAGCACTCCAGCTGTACTTCTTCCAAGACAGATTTGTTCGTTCTTTTGGCAGTCCATGGTGTATTCAGTATTCTTCGCCAACACCATAATTCAGAAGCATCAATTCTTTGCTCTTCCTTATTCATTGCCCAGCTTTTGCATGCTTATGAGGCCACTGAAAACACCATGGCTTGGGTCAGACACACCTTAGTCCCTAAAGTGACATCTTTGCTTTTTAACACTTTAAAGAGGTCTTTTGCAGCAGATTTGCCCAATGCAATGCATCTTTTGATTTCTTGACTTCTGCTTCCATGGGTGTTGATTGTGGATCCAAGTAAAATGAAGTCCTTGACAACTTCAGTCTTTTCCCCGTTTGCCTATTGGTCCAGTTGTGAGGATTTTTGTTTTCTTAATGTTGAGGTGTAATCCATACTGAAGGTTGTGGTCTTTGATCTTCATCAGTAAGTGCTTCAAGTCCTCTTCACTTTTTCAGCAAGCAAGGTTGTGTCATCTGCATAACGCAGGTCATTAATGAGTCTTCCTCTAATCCTGATGCCCCGTTCTTCATATAGTCCAGGTTCTTGGATTATTTGCTCAGTATACACATTGAATAAGTATGATGAAAGGATACAACCCTGGCGCACGTTTCCTGACTTTAACCCACTCAGTATCTCCTGGTTCTGTTTGTACAACTGCCTCTTGATCTATGTACAGGTTCCTCATGAGCACAATTGTTCTGAAATTCCCATTCTTCGCAGTGTTATCCATAATTTATTATGATCCACACAGTCAAATGCCTTTGCATAGTCAATAAAACACAGGTAAACATCTTTCTGGTATTCTCTGCTTTCAGCTAGGATCCATCTGACATCAGCAATGATATCCTTCTTTCCATGTCCTCTTCTGAATCCAGCTTGAATTTCTGGCAGTTCCCTGTCGATGTACTGCTGCAGCTGCTTTTGAATGATCTTCATCATAATTTTACTTACGTGTGGTATTAATGATATTGTTCGATAATTTCTGCATTTTGTTGTATCACCTTTCTTTAGAATAGGCGTAAATATGGATCTCTTCCAGTTGATTGGTGAGGTAGCTGTCTTCCAAATTTCTTGGCATAGACAAGTGAGCACTTTCAGCACTGCATCTGTCTGTTGAAACATCTCAGTTGGTATTGCATCAATTCCTGGAGCCTTGTTTTTCACCAGTGGCTTCAGTGCAGCTTGGACTTCTTCCTTCAGTACCACTGATTCTTGATCATATGCTGCCTCCTGAAATGACTGAACATCAACCAATTCTTTTTGATACAGTGGCTGTGTGTATGCCTTCCATCTTTTGATGCTTCCTGCGTCGTTTAATATTTTCCCTGTAGAGTCCTTCAGTATTGCGACTCGAGGCTTGAATTTTTTCTTCACTTCTTTCAGCTTGATAAATACCAAGCATGTTCTTTCCTTTTGATTTTCTAACTCTAGATCTTTGTACATGTCATTATAGTACTTTATCTTCTCCAGCTGCCCTTTGAAATCTTCTGTTCAGCTCTTTTACTTCATAATTTCTTCTGTAAATATTACAGCCTTGGAAACCCTATAGGGCAGTTCTCCTCTGTCCTGTAAGGTCATTATGAGTCAGAATTGACTCGGTGATAACAGGAACCTTGCTAAACCACCTGATCAGCTGAAATAATTTATTTGCAGATTTGGGCAGGTTGCTCATACATGCTATTTGAATATCATGACAGTCTAGTTTCTCCCTTTCTAATTTTTATGTCTTTTTCTTTTCTCATATTTTTCTGTCCTTCCTCAGATTTCTAATACCATGTTGACTGGAAGTGGTGACAATAGGCATATTTATCTTGTTCCTGATTGTAAAGGGGATGCATTTTTATTGCATCATTAAGTGTGATGTTAGCTGTAGATAGTCCTCTTCTATTTTTGAAAGAGTTTTTGTTTTGTTTTGTTTGCTTATGTATTTGTCTTTTTTTTTAATCTAAATAAATCTTGAAATTTTCAGAGTTCATTTTTCTTCATTTTATA